CTCGTTCCATCACCGCACTCCATTCTTATTAGTTTTTGACTTTGAGACCAGGAAAGCTACTTGCACTTGTAAACATACAAATTAAAACAGGGAGCTCAGTGATGCTCTAACATGTTCTGCACAAGCTTGTAAGAAAACTCAGATTTTATTTCTTAGGAAAAACCTTTTTTTCTCTTTCTGCCCTTATCCCCTTCATCCTCCATCCTTCCCTAAACCTCCTGCGTTTAGGAAAGCTTGCCTGAGGGGGTCTTGAAAATTCACCTAGTTTTCCTCTACCGGTTCCAAGAAAACTGTCACCTCTCATAACAGTGCCTGTGGCTGACGACGGCATTCACAGAGGTCTGACCTGCGCTGATTTTCATCCATCTCTCTCCAGTGCTGATGCCAGAGGAGTGGCAGCAGCAGAGGCTGCCCAAGCCTACTCGGAACCGCAGTCACACAGCGAGGGCACCCGGTGCTCCCACTGCCATGTTGCTATCAGCATCTCGGTTAGCTCAGGTACGTTCCCACATGCTTTGGCAACATTTCTGACCACCTGACTGCTTTGCAAGCTTTGAAAGACACAGAAACATTTGTCTTATTAGTCTTTATCAAACTGCATAGGTAATGCATTTTTTCAACAGCTTTTCCTGCACAGGATTTTCCTTCCAATCCATAACCTCTCCCCAGCTTATCTTAAAGGAACAAGTTATACTTAGCATCATCACCTGTACTTATGAGTTTTATTGTTCTGGTGAGGTGCTGGTGGAAGTTACTGATTGAAAAATCTCTTGTTGTGACAAAATGTAAACACTGGGAGAGACTACTGTTGCAAAAGAAAAGCCTGATGCTCAAATTTTGATGCTCAAATACCTTTGGTCCCGAAACTCTTTATGATAAATAAACTGTATTTTTCTAACAGTGAATGAATTTGCAGTTTACTACACACTTTCTTTTCAGTGCTAGTTTACAGCAAACCTGTCACACAAATGCCTTTATTTTTCTGACCACGTCTGTGTGCAATACTGTCTGATATCACCAGGTGGAGCTATGCAGATAATCTCATTTTGCTTTATTCAATTACAAAACATAAAGTCCAGCTTTTTCTACAAATCTCTTTTTGGATGGTATCTTATGACATGCAGCATCAGCCTGGGTCCATAAAACCACTGCCAACCCGCAGCAATCCAAGACAGTAAGTTCACTATGCGCAAGACAGTATTTCTTGTATGTGCACAGGGCAAGAGAAGGGACCAGGAGGGAGCTCAGGTCCAGAAGATATCAGCAAACACCACCTGGCTCAGCCAGCAAAGCCGCTGCTCTGAAATACACTGCATGCAAAATGGCTTCAGCAAAGCACTTGGTAAGGCCTGAACATATCCCACAGGTTCCTGCTGCTTCCCCTTCTTTTGTGCCATTTTCTTCATTAGTTCTATTCTTTTTTTTTTTTTCCCTCTGCTGAACAAAAGTCTAACTTAGCCTGGCAAGACAACTCCACCTTTGATCATATAATCACGGCACTAAACAGCCTGACACTAATGAAAGTTTTGCAGTCTCAGTATAGCTGAAAATACAAGGCTTTGCCTGTAACTTCTTACTAATTAACTTTTTTACATAAGGTAAGAACTGGAGATAAAAAATGGGTTCTCTTTTTTCTGCTATGCTTTCTTTAGTCTTCAAGTAAACAGGACCTAACTACAGCTGTTAAAATAATGCCAGTTTCTTAGCTGACATCTATTCCCTGCTCCAAAAAAGCCAATTAGTACCCCTAAGGGAAAGGTTTTCCTCACTGCATACACCAACAAGAAGTTCTATACGGTCACAAGGAAATGTAAAACAAATTATTTCAATGAAAACATTACATAATTTTAAAAATCTTATGTATCTAAACCATTTTCAACTCTTTTCTGTGCTCAATGGAATGTTAGAGAGTTTTACAAACTAACTGCTAATGTGATCAGAGTAGATGTCATCTTGAAGCTTGTAGGTCACAGCACATAAAAACTGACTTGCAAACTGCAGAATATAGAAACTTAGGCTGATTCCCAGCAATTACTGGCATTTAAGACAAGCAGGCCCTGTCAGCATTAAGTGAACAGAAAAATGTTTATTAAAGTTCTCCCACAATTATTTTCAGAGTTATGTTTTTTAATATTGTATTCAACACAAATAAGCTGCAAACTTAAAAAGGCATCAGCCCTTTCTTTCTAACCTTGGCACTTCTCCAGCTGAAAATGACAACTGCAGAATCAAACATCAAACCTCAATCTCTAGCACTTTATTTGTAAGTATTTATTCATGTTGTCACTTTACAGCCCTCTCAGGCCACGTCAATTTGAAATAAAAAATGGCCCAGCCATGGACCTGAATACTAGCCCAAGACAGTCCACATCTCTCAACCATTAGCTCATTCCCTGGCTCAGTTCTGAGCTGCTTGAACTCACTTCTGCCAAAACAAACCTGCTCCTAGACGTGTTAGACCTAAGAATTATATTTGGGGTCAGTTAGTGTTGTGGGGTCAGGGGTTAGTCCCTGGCCCTTCTTCATTTAGCAGTACAGATGAAGGCTGAAGGCAATGGACCTAACTCTGATGTCATCAGAAGTAAGGTGAAAAGCATTTATGATCTGGTCTGATCTTGCATATGACAATAAATCTTGCTTTTCTGAGTTGATTTTATGAGATGTAGTTAAGAATTAGCAAAACAAAATAAACTCTTTTTTGTATTCACCTCTACGGTAGCTCCGGTAGACTGATGTGGATTGAGGTCTACACATTTTCCATAAGCTCCTTTTTAACCACTTGAAAAATATCCCACACTTCATCTCTAAACTGCCCACATGAATTTTTGACAGATACACTGTTATTCTACTGCTCTCTTCAGCAGAACGTGTTGTCTATTTTAATGAGTTTGGAAAATAACCTCTAAACACCACACTTTGGTGGAAAAATGCATTACTTCATTTAGAAAATCGTGCTTAAACCCCAAAGATTTTCACTCCTCTCCCTACACAGGACCAAAATTAAAGGAGCTAATAGCAAACATGCCATATCAGTGCATTGCTCATTCACACACAAAAATCTGTAACAGGCAATTGCTAAATTCATAATTCAATTAAGTTTCTTCAGAGTACCTGTATGTGACAAGTATCTTCTAAAAACAGGCCAAAATTTAACGAAATGATTTCTCTATCTTCACAAGCCTTCCTTCAACTGTTATTATGCAACCGATCAAGTCAAAATATTACCCTACAGCAGAAAATCCTCCACAGTGCAATTATCTCAAGAAAGTCCTCAGAGGTGGTTGGGAGAGGAAGTCAAACTGCTGTAGGAACAAGAATTACAGTGCTAGAAACCTCCAGAAGCATCCTGAGGCCTTCGGACTCAGCAGGCTTAGCTCCCAGGCTGCTCGACAGAGTCAGTGGCAAGATTGCTTCCTTCCACACTAAGCGTGATATTCACTGAATTTGATACCTTGAGACTGGTTCTTTCTAAATCATCTCCTTTCGTTTTGTGACAAGTGATATCCATCAGCTTCTGTGTTTGCATCCTAATCGATATCCTGCTACTGAATTCTGGTATCTGCTGTTCTTTGGGAAATAATAGGAGATGACAGGAAAGAATATATAATATCTCAAGGGTAGCAACTGCCTTCCTGTCTCAATTCTGTGTATTGTGCTTAGATCAATAAAGCCAAACTCCCCTGGTACAACTACTCAAATAATCCCACTAGCTATGGAGAATATTCTAAAATACTACAGCATATTTTTGCAAAAATGGTGTTTATCCTTCTTGCCAGGAAGTCCAGAAATGCACACATTAAGATGGATAACAATTCATAACACAATAAAAGAAATTCAACAGATTTCACTTCCTTGAAATGAGTCTCACCTCTCAGAAGTTTAGAATATGCAGAACTAAGAGGGGTGGGTTTTTTTAATAGTAAGCATTACAATTAAAAAACATCTTGTACTCCTCCCTGATCCTCCAGGCATTCTTACTGGGCTTCCACCAAAATGACACGTTTGTATTTTTTTAAAGATACACAAATTTGGCATGTACTCACCTATAAAAAATTTATGTGAAAAGTGGGCAGTGAGATGTATAAAGTGCTTATATCACCTGTAATATATCAGCTGTACACACTATTCACTCGTTATTATTGTTCTTGCTCTGTCCTTACAAAATTCTGTCTCTAGGAAGGAAAAAAATACATAGAACTCATATCTTAAACCTACAAACTTTAGATGTTTCCTTCCAAAAAAGCAAATAATCCTCTTAAACTAAAGTCTCTGGCAGACAGAGGACTTGTATAACCAACAACTTGCAGTCCTGTGCTCCCATTTATTTCTGGAGGGATCCCATCCCCAGAGAAAAGTTGTGCTCACATAACATGCTTTTCCTGCAAAAGACACCCACAGGCTTTAGTATGAATTTGAGAATGTTTTAAAATGTTTCCCCCTCTATGCTGCTTTTGAAGACAGTCACAGTATACGAGTCTCTCCGAATGCATCTCTTGTTGGAGGATCCTGGGCTAAGCCATACAGATGGGTGAGAGCAGTAAAATTAAATGGCAAACCGTTTGATCATTTTCAGAACCCGCTGGTTCCCTGATTTTGTTCAGGTTTAGGGGAAGGGAAAACCACATCACCTGAGACTGCAATAAACAGGGAATAGCATCTTTCACTCTCGCAGGCAGGTTCTTCCCACAGATAGGAGTTCAGGACATCATGTATCATAACGCAAAGTATGCTCTTAACTCTTTGGGTCATTTTTAGCAAGTGCAGTTTGATGAGAAATTATAATCCTGGTGTTATGCACAAAAAACTCTACACAATAGCCAATAGTATAGTAGACATCAGCAAATAAAGGGCTGTTTTTTTTCTTTTAACAGCCTGTTTTTTAACAGTAGCTGGATAATTTAAAATTTAAAAGGAAAAATATACCAAAATATTTGAAACTTTTTAAACAATCTTTTTCAGTTTAAAAATTGAAAATTATAAGTCACCTGACAATCACTGACCTTTTCTAATTTTTCAAAGTGCTCTCTGAGGAACTTCATGGGTCGGTCTGGTTTTGCTATGCAAAGGTTTACAATGCACTCTTTTAAAATCTGTTGGATGTTGTGCTTCTGAACATAGAGTTCACATCCCTTCAGGCTCTCGTCTTCTTCCACGTTGCAGGAAGAAGCAGCAGCCATCTTCAGGCTTGTAAACAGAAAACAGACCTAGGTAAGAAAATGGTGCAAGAAAGAGATAAGAGACAGTTCCCAAATTCTTTGTCAGAGAGATCTGGAGGAGCAAAGACATTTTAATATTGCCAGTTGCCTATTTAAGAGCTATCAGTTCTGAACGTTTTAACGTTATGGGGTTGTATGTGGAAAT